CGTTTTGGAAGTGTAATTACTCTTTTGATCTTCTGAATTTTTCTGTATTCATTTGTAGTTTAATTCTAAGTAATGATTTTTTTATGAACTTATCTTATTTTGTTGAAATGTGAGAGAGCAGTCTTTGTTCCACCAGAGATTATCAAGGGCTAGTTACCATAGAAACACACGGTTTAGCAGTACTGTAAGCGTTTAGACTTTCGATAAAACTGTTTTGGCTGTATTTTCAAGATACATTAACCAGTTTTAGCACAAAACCTTGTAAACATTTACTTTTGTGGTGAAACTGGGTCTCCAAAACCCAAAACACACAAAAGATGCAGTTTTCACACAAAAAATGGCTCAATGTCAGAAAAGTCAGAACAGAGCATTGGACATCGATACTGTAGTTTCACAGCTGAAATACTCTGAACCCATTTAGACTTGAATAGTGATATGCAAATCACTTTTCACTATAAATGTCAATTGTAAGGAATTTTTGCTATTTCAACATTAGAAAAATCCGAAAAACTATATTGAAGTGAAGGCAGATTAAACAAGTACAAGAAATCAACAACAAACAATGCTGATATAACAGTGGAATACCTTTGCAGCTCATGCATCGATTTTGTTCATACTCCACCGGGTTATCTGTCATTTGTGTTTGGGATTTGTCACGAGGGAGTTAATCCAAAAGTCCATTGGTTGCGATAATCCAGGTGTGTGGAGCAGATATGGCCTTGACCATTTTTTTCAACAATGCTATCTCTGCAACACAATGTCATTTACTTCTTTGTGCTGTTAGTACCAGCTTTTCATTGTTTCCTCCCGTTCTAAAGGAAGCACTTAAACCAGAGACTTTTAACTATTTAATCCATCTGTTTTAATGGCCATATTACAGCTGCTTTGATACAGACCCATCGCCCTCGGGGCAGAATGCAGAACTGTGTGAAGCCTGCTCCAAAAAAAAACAGACCGAGAAAGACCAAAACATTCATCAGGAAACAGTATTAGGCATTTTATCGAAGCTGAAAGTTTGCAAACAGCTGAATGTGCTCACTAAACATGACGCAACATACTGGACTGCATCGCTTCAATTGTGTATATATTTGGAGGTTTAAAACAAAATTGTACATTAACACTGGAACTCCCAGAGCCGCCATTTTGACTGCTCCTATTTTCACCATATGTCTTACCTTCACTCACCTTGATATACATCACACAAATAAAAACTGCTGCAAGTCAACTGTGTGTTGCTATGGGAACTCCTCAAATTGAAAAAGTAAAAAAGGATGTCATACAAAATAATGACATAGAAATAACCGACATACAGAAGTTTGAAGACCGAAAATGTACATGAGCTGAATAATTAAACTTCCAAAAACTCTGAGGCGAAGTTAGTTTAGTTTGTTGAGTATATATCAGACGTTTGTAAGATAGCTTTCTATTGTTAATACTTTGATCTTACTATTGTTAATATCTTTTAATCATGTTATAAAATTATTCCCCCATCTATAATGTGAGCGTCATACAAGCTAGCTTCTTACCTTTTGCATTAACTCCTCACCGAGCCATTCAGTTTGAAAATGCTGTGATTTTTTTAGGTAGAGAAACGTTTTGTTTTGTCAATAGTTCAATTATATTTTCTGCCATCAAATGCATTCCTTACACCCGCCTGCTGACATTATCATATCCTCAGCACTTTTCACACAGATTTATTTGGCTTGTCATTTCCACTTATCCCAGTTATAGTGAATTTAACATTGTTTATTTAATGCGACAACTGTAACCATGCATAATAAGTCGGGAAAAGATATGTCACTTGCCAATCCAACACCGTTACTGCGTCTTTGTGTAAAACCTCCTGCAGTGTAGTGTGGTTGTAGTGACCATCAGCTCTGGACCATGTGACCTCTGAGCAGGTAAAGATCATATTTATGATGACAGAGGGGCTGGACTGTGTGTGGAGACCTGTCAGGATGCGAGTGCTCAGACTGGCAGCTTGTATTGCTTCCATGGATCTTCCTCTCAGACCCAGTGGACCTATCAAATCTACATTCAGCAGCAGACACAAGACAGAACGCATCAATCTGAGGACGGCACTGCTCAAGGCAACGCTGGGGAAAAATGATCGAAACTGCTATTTTTTGTTGTTGTTTATTGCGTTTGTCAGTTTGGATGTGCCACTGTACTCTGTTATTACACTGCTGCTGCTTCGACTGCTGCAGCTGGAAATGTGTGATTTTACAAATGCCAAACACACTATTTTAGCGAATGTTGTGATGCACAAAAAGCCTATTGTTACACTGGTGCTCACCTCACGTGGCCTCCCCACTTACTGCAAGAAAGAAAAGCTTTAATGTGATTTGCATAAAAGCGCTCATTAGAAAAACTACACTTAAGTGGAAAAGTGTACAACCAGACATGGGGAAGAGTACTTTAAAACTGTAATTAGTTACAGTGTACAACATTCTTGCAATACTGTTGTCTGCATACTCAGCTTCATTAGTTAATTTTGACATCATCCATCAGTTCATGATCAGTTCATTATGACCTCATCCATCAGTTCACTAAGGATTTTATGAGTTTATGGTCATCATGAATGAATACATCCTGATTGATGAGAATGCATGAACGAGCTTCATGTATGAATATCATCATGAGTTCCACAGAGAACATGAATACAGCTGTAAAAGGAGGGAGTTTCTTCATAGTCATGATGGAAACCTGTCACTCACAATGAAACAAATGTACACACCATGAACCCGTGACTCGTCATTGTTCTTTATCCAACATTGTTCAATATGGAGACAGAAGAAGACTTGGGGATAGATGAGTGAAGTTAATAAATATTAATTCATTCATTCATATGATGTACACCACTATTGTTTTCTCTTTTACTTCCACTAATACAAAATTGTACTTAGACTTTCTTCATTAGGAAAGTCTGCTGTATTTTCAAACACATCAGCAGTCCACGTATAGATATAAACTAAACACATCATTTTTCAAATAGAATCTGCAATGAAGAAATATATTGCGGCTTTCAAGTTGAGATAAGGTGAATCTGGGATGAGAGAATCATAAAATACCTTTGGGGCCCTCTTATTCACTCTATTATTTTAAACAGCTCCTTTCCCCATCAGAAAGACGGTTCCTTTTCAAATTTTCATATGAAACATTAATCGCTCTAAAATAAATACTTCCCCACTTACAGATTGTATGAGTTCTAATCCGCAGTGAGGAGTTATAGAGGTGTCCATTCAACCTTTCGCTTGCTAACGCCCGTGTTGACCTTTTGGAATGTGAAACAACGGGCTTTTCTAGACGTAATTACAGATCTAAAGAAAGAGATGATGATCAACGGGTGGCAAAGATAACCATGGAGAAAGGACCAAGCATCGAGGGCAGGATCTTTCAGCAGGTTCTTATGAGACTGGACTTTGAATGTATCTGACTAGAAAAGTATGAACAACAACTATGCAAGTAATTGGCTTGATGAAACTTTGGACACATTTTCTGCTAAGTCAATCCAATTACCAAAACGAGAAGACAAACATATGAATGAGTTGATTCTGATTGGTCAACTCTATGTCAAGAGTATTGGTCATCCTTAACCATCATCATTATATTGGGCATTGGTTGTGGATTTTGGAAAATGGTTTGGAGTAATTATACATCTCTCCTAAATCTCAAGTAGTTTTAAATGTCTACACTGTGGCATGAATAAAGGATCTCTTAATGTTTCCTTTAAATCAGTATTTCCCAAAAACACCTACATTGACATGAGCAATTTCTGTAATAGAAGCAAACATACAGACAACATACTAGAGTCAAACTACATTCAGGTACCTCTTCTCTAGGTTATTTTCTTTGATTGATACATTTGCATATGAGACAGCCCTGTGATTTCCTGTAGCGTTAAAAAGTACTGAACTGACTCACTGTATTGCTAAAAAGCCCATGAAGTCTGCGTGGGGTTTTACATCCCCTGCAAAATGGCCAAATGGCTGTTGAAGTTCTAAGAGGAGGAAAAACACAGGGTTTAAATAGCTTTTATATGTGATATTATATACTTTTAAGCTCTTACTTGCCAGATAACGGCCGAGCCATTACATTGTATTTCACAGATAATAATACAAAATGGTTCAATAGTCCACATGGGAGTAGTATATTTCTGACATCAAAGAGCAGCTGCCAGCCATTGAACAATTAGATTTAGACCATAGACTGTAGAAGGGGTGGACTAACCCAGGGCTCACATCACCCATACAGTGTATGTCTTATTGCAGAAGAAGCTGATTAGATCTAGCTCAAACAGGCTATATGAACGTGAAGCCAAATCGGGGTTGGCAACCAAAGAGCCAATCCGGAGTGGCACTGGTCTTTTCCCGCTCACAATGGCTCACGATTAAACAAAAGTACATATCGTGAACCCATGTCTCATTGTTCTATATCCTACATTGTTCAAGATTACTACATGTATCACTTATAAATAACAAATGCATGTGATGAGGGAATGGTTCGTTATTGATGTACAGTATCTACTCTTTCATTATGATTGAGAAGCCAAACCGGGGTTGGCAAGCACCTCGCAACCACAGAGCCAATCAGAAGTGGCACTGGTCTTTTCTTGCTTGTGATATTTTCTTGCTGAAGCCAAATTTAGGGACATTCTGGATTCACAAATACAGTATCAATATATAAATAGCCAGGATCATACAGAGCATTAAGCTACAATTTGTTTACGCCCAGCAAAGTGAGTGTGACGCAAGCAGTTTTGCAGAGTAGGTGTTTACTTTCATCCTTCAACACTTGCCACTGCTTCATAGAGGTTAGTATCATCCACTGCAATTCAGTCGATGGTTCAGACAAACATTACATTAGCTCCTGAAAGCTCATGAAATTTCTGACATTGATGTTTGTTGATTTAAGTTGATGTTCATCACAGGATATCTGACATCTTCAAGGAACAATAAAGTTTACAGGTCATTTCTAACCATTGTTAACTTTTTTCACAGGTCTCCAACTTGTACCTATATGACAGCGTGCTGATGCTGGCCAATGCCTTCTATAGAAAGCTGGAAGACCGGAAGTGGCACAGCATGGCTAGCCTCAACTGCATGAGAAAATCCACTAAACCCTGGAACGGCGGATGGTCCATGCTCGACACCATTCAAAAGGTACGACATTACCTTTTTATGCAGCTAAATGACTAGATCAAAGAGACTCGCTCAGGTGTGGGTCGATAGGAAGAGCAAAATGGGGTGAGTAGTGTTCTTTAAGACCTGTTAGGACTTTGAATACTACATACAGAATTACTGAAGCGTTTCTTGTCAGAACTTATCCACACGAATTATAAAACCATACTCTAAGATTGGCCTCGAGATAGACCAGGGTCTCATTGACTACTTAATGGATGAAGAAAGCCTCTCTCACTCAGAAAATTGGCAGCCTATACTATAAGGTGGCCTGATGTCATTTGGTTCAATCGCATAATAGATTTTTTTTATTGTTCCTCAAGTTGAGCTGGATTGAGTTCAAGACAATTTTCAGATAATATAATAACGGATTCAGCACTAGGCTACTTTGAATTTTGCAATCACATCTGACACATACTGCAGAAATACAACTTCTTTCATCATTGCTAAAGTACTAATGTCTTTAAATGGATACAAAAAAGCTCAATGCAGTGTTTTCCCTTGTCTATTACGTGCCATTAGATAATGAAATACATAATCTGTTTTTAAATATGTCTTGCCGATACCTGTCAAGTGCATTGTCAATCCAATGCCAAAGTTTGCATTTCTGTCAGAAACTTTCACCTTTGATGTACTGATACGTGAATCTGATGAAAAATAAGCAATGTTGATAGCGCTGTGTCTTCTGAATGGTCCTCGAAATGTTGCAGAAAACAGTAACCTGAAACCCATGAATAAGAAAGAATTGCATAGACATTAATATTGCTTTGTTGTCATGGCAATTTGCGCACAGAATGTTCATAACAAGACCAAATTATAGACAGTAAACAGACATTGCAATATAAAGTGTATGTTTATTGATATTGAGAAAACAAGAAATAAAGTATGGCACAAATACATAGTGTCTGTAAAGGAATGCACAAATAAAGGAGGAGGAAGAATCAAATCTATGAACGGTGCATACATGCGAGTCTGACTTTAGCTCTCAGCGGGAGACCATCTGAAAACTGGTTCTCTGTGCAACATGTGTGACCTCTGTATACTTCCTGACACGCCGCTCAGTCAGGGGGCCGCTCTCCGTCTGTCTCTTTTTAGGGCCGCATCAGTGGTCTCACAGGGATGATGGACTTTCGTGCTGAAGGCTCCAACTCACATGTACAGTTCGAGATTCTGGGGACAAGCTACAGCGAGACGTTTGGCAAAGACGCCAAAAGGGTAAGTGCTCCTTTCTATTTGGAAAATCCTTGTTCACTCATGTTATGTGTATTTCTGGATGGCCAGTGATCGTGTCTTCCAAGTTTATATGTCACCACTCCAAAGTATTTGAATGAAGGCTTGTGAATGCTTGATGCTTGTGGGGTTCATAATGTACGGAGGGCCTGGATTTGGGCTTCAGGTGAATGTTGGGGGTCAGTTTAAGAAGCAAAATAAGAGCCAGATTCTATTCTTCACTGCCACCATGCCCCGCAATTATAAGTGTTTTAGGTTCAAATGTGTACAGTTTGCATATTCTCCCCATGGATAGGCAAGGATTTGATATTGATTTCTAATATACAGTACTTGTTAATTGTTTTACATGTTGTTCATTTGGCAAAAAAAAAGACAACATACTGTAGCTGAATGCATTATAATATATAGTGGAGGAGTTCAAGTATCTCGGAGTCTTGTTTGACGGACTTATCGTTGCAGTGTGTGCAGTGATGTGCAAACTCTCAATTTACCGGTCAATCTACATTCTCACTCTCACCCTGAGAATGAATTGGCCCCTACCCAAATTTGGGTAATGACTGAAAAGACCAGATCATGGATGCAAGAGGTCAAAATGAGATCCCTTTGCAGAGTGGCTGGGCGTTCCCTCAGAGATAGGGTGAGGAGCTCAGAGTAGAGTCACTGCTTCTCCACGTCGAGAGGAGCCAGTTGAGGTGGCTCGAGCATCTGTTTCGGATGGAGGTTTTCCAGGCAAGTCCCACTTGGAGACCCAGAAGATCCAGGCATGACTACGCCTTTCAGCTAGCCAGGGAACGCCTCCCATTTTCCCCGGATGAACTGGAAGAAGTGTTTGTGTGTGTGTGCGTGTGTGTATGTGTGAGAGAGTGTGCATGTGTGTGTGGTTTAGTGGGTGTCTGTGTGTGTGCGGGGGCATCTCTGTTTAGATGGCTGACCCTGTGACCCGGCAAGGGATTAAGCAGAAGAAAACAAATGAATGGATAGGGCAAAGGGCTTCTTGCTGTAACGCCACCATATAATTATGCTCTCCAAAGCAGCACACACTCCACAAGTTATGCAACCGCTCTACCTCCCGATGTACATCTGTTATAGCTGACGGCACAAAGGCTCTCCTATATTGCAGTCCATTTGAGGAGCTTTTTGCCAGGATATGCGTTCTCACACCTCTCTTACTCTCTCTCTCGCACACACAAACCCACACACACACAAACACTGTCTGTAGGTAGCAGAGAACAGCAGGTACACTGGACTCCTGACGAAAATAGTCCTTCCTTAAACACTGGCCACTTACTGTGTGGAGAAAGTGGAATTAAAGTATTTCTCATTTTCTCCGGGCACTCTTACAAAACCCCTCTCAAGTTTAGACACTCAATTTCAGCTCTTAAAAAGTAGCATCCTGCAGTTTTCCCTGGCCACCATATGGTTTGTTATATCCAAGAGTTGTCAGGAAGATGCAGCACTTATACGACACAGAACGGAAGCCTGCGGGACACCTGTTTGCCGCGGTCACTGCTCATACAGGTTTTATTACTGGGGGGGTTGTACATGCGGACTCTTTAGGATGCATGTATAGTGGGTATATAGGGGATGCATAGGCTCAAAATAGAGTGGGTAAATCAATCAATGTTATCCGCATGGCACTGGTCGGTTTGGGGTTAAGTGGATTTGTGTGTAGAACGACGGCAGAGACTCAGGTTTAACATGTGTCAGTGAGTGCCCTCTGCTGGGCTGTGGCTATAGTGTGGAGAGGCAGTGAAATGCATTTATGTTTTTAATCAATGCTGTGAATCTAATTTCCTAATAATGTGCTGATTGTTTTGTTACATTTGTCTGTATGGAGAGATATCGGGATGCAATTAGGCTATAGCGTTAACTAAGATTTGACGCATTAAAACCAACCAACCAATTAACACTCAAACTCAATAGTGATTCTACATGTATTGCGCCTTGTCCTTTTCTAAACGGGACAGTCACTCATTATCCAGTCTACAGGGTACCCCTAGACATAAGCTATACCTTCCTGTATATCAGAGAAAATGTTGGCAGACTTTTAAGTTTGATTTTTCCCTGTGCTGCGATTGTCAATTATTCATAAAGGAGCACAACTACTGCTGTGTTCTATAACAGGTTCCTTAGACAATAGGTACGGAGTGTAAGCACTCAAATCAAAACTTGTCCCACGGTGCTGGACAAAAGGAAGGTGTTTGAGCCCTGCGGTGGCAACAACATGTGAAGACTGCAGACTTGGTTAAAAGCCACATGTGCCTGATTAGAATTTTAGAGCCAGACAAATAGAAGAGGGGCCAGAGAGTGCAACAGCATGTGGCTCTTTCTCAGAATCATTAGAGACAGAAGAGGACAGCCAGGCCTCATAACAAGATATAAGTGCATTCAGTATGAGTGTCCAGAGCTCATGCCCCGCGCCCCATGCCACCAAAACATCACTGTAATAGTCCGTAATGAGTGTTGGGCTGCCAATCAAGAAGATGAAGCTCTTCGCGAAAGTTCACTGTGGTAGACCCGGCCACTGCTGCCAGATCTACAAGCCTGCTCATCCTCTACTCATTACACCAGCAAAACGCCCACATCTAGTCCACCAATAACCACCAGGACAGCAAGTTAAAAGCCGGAGACGCCCACTTCCCAGCCTTCTGAAGTTTGCAAAGTGCATGTCGCTAACGCACCTGTTCGCAAATGCATGCGTTGTTCTGGAGGGGTCGCTTCTGCTCACGTGTTGCTCGTGCGCGTGGCCCGGCTGTCCTCAGTCTGGTTGCTCGTGGTCTGCTCCTCTTCCGTGTCCCTGCACCTGCTGTGGTTCGCGTGTCTCCACTGCTCTCTTCTGCGGGCTGCTCCGCGGGGCCCCCTCCGCGGGTCCGTGCTGCTCGTTCCTTGTGGTCTGCTGCCGCGCGCAGACGGTCTGGCGGTGCCGTGCATGTCCCTGCCTCCAACTGGCGGTGCCGCGTTGTCCCGTTGCTTTTCCCACGTCTCCTGGCATGTGAGTACAGTGAGTGTGCTGACCGCGGACGGATTAATCCCTGAGTCTAGGCTGCAAGCGGCTGGTTTTGCCCTGCACACTTGACTACAGGCGCCAGTTTTCGCCCCGTGCTTGGTCTGCAGGCTCCGTTTCACACGTGTTTGAGCTAACTGAGGGACAATGCATCTTAAATGGCATCAATCTCTATTGTCTGACTCTGAGGGATATAAGAGGAGCAATGTGCATTAATTCAGATTCATGTTCTGCCACTTGCAGTAAAACCACGTTGGAAAAAATGTGCAAAGACTACCCATCGTGCCCCAGACGGCACACACCAGAACTCTTGCCACGGTGCCATATTTACAGCATTAATCTCATTACTCGCAGGTCACTATTGTTAAATGAATGCATTTAAATTCGTCTATCTGCAGGAGGAAGGAGGGGCCATGCATTTAAATAGCTAGGTCACTAGTATTCAATTGGGTAACTAAACTGCAGTTGTTGCATTTCGAAAGTGCAGCAGAAAGAAAAGGGCCCAATGTGAATCTGCAATGGGTTTGAAGTGGAGTTGGAGTTGAACGCATGGAAAAGTGATCGTTCATGCGTATCTACCATAACCAAAGCAGCAGATGGCTCCAGGGGACATCTGTTTTTCGCATGGGAATGTTTCGGATTTGGGTTGATTTATTTCCTCAGGCTGTTAAACAACCATGGGCATGGTTCTCTGACCGCCGCTGCTGCGGTCCCTGCTGCCGTTCCTGATGCCTGTTCCTGCTGCTGCCTGTTCCTGCTGCTGCCTGTTCCTGCTGCTGCCTGTTCCTGCTGCCGCTCCTGCTGCTGCCTGTTCCTGCTGCTGCCGTTCCTGCTGCCTGCTCCTGCTGCTCCTACTACTACACGTGCCGCTGCTGCTGTTCCTGCCGCTGCCGCTCCGCGGGCTCCCATGCTGCACCTGTCTCTACGGCTCGGCTCTTTCAGACACATGCTGCAGCTGCTGCTACCCACTCTCTCAGAAGCTTATCCTGCTTCTAATGGACGCAGCCCGGCTGAGTATGCCGCGCTGCGCTGGACTCGCACCTATGCTCCCAGGGTCGCTTCGGCGGTCATGCTTCATCTCTTACTTAATCTTCTGATTCTATCAGATGCAGCTGGCCGAGTAGCTGCGCTGAGCCGTCAATCGGACTCTTAATCAAAGGCATCCATACCTGTATTCTTCACTCTTCTGATCACAGGCTCCCCATCATGCTGCCCATCCTGCAGCGGCGCTGAACTCCGGTTCATCTTCCAAGTACATGTCTGCCCTCCTCGCAGCATCTTCCTGCTCTCCTTCTATGGCTTCTCTGCATAAGCGTTTCACTACTGCTCACTCAACCTTCGTGCGGTCCGAGACACGGCTTTTCCCGACCATCCTACTATCCTGATTATCTACTCTCCAACCCAAGATTCTAAGCGTAAGGGCGCCTGCAAACATCAATGGCCCTCTCCGACATGTCTCTGCCCCTACAGGTCTCCGCTTCTACACGGACGCTGCCCCTTCCGTGGGTTTTGGGGGATTCTTCCAGGACCATTGGTTAGCCGAGTGTGGCCGCTACTTTCCACCGGAGCATCTCCTCTGCCCTACACGAGATATTCCCAGTGGTCGTGGCCTGCGCGCTGTGGAATCACACGTGGCAGAGAAAGAGGATCTCTGTCATGTGTGATAATCTCGACGTAGTGGAAGCATTAAACAAAGGTCGCTCTTTTTCACCCAACATAATGTCCCCTGACCATTTCAACCTCCGTCTCGAACATTCAAAAATCAAAGGAGCCTGCAATATAGCAATAGCTCGCTCGGACACATCTCTCTGCCCCTACAAATCCTTGATGCGTTACACTCGCCTCCGCTGCAGAAAAGGAGATCTTAACGGACCTCTCTTTCTCACTCCAGACATTCTTCCCATGACAGCAACCTGGTTCAGAGTTCAACTAAGATCCCTACTGCTCCTCTGTAAATTGTCTCCCCAGCTCTACACAGCCC